TGATCTTGCTGTTCGTCACCGAAGACAAATTCCTTGTGTATATTTTATACTTGGTCATTAAAGTATTTGTATTTGTATATAAATAATATAGTACGTTAAAATTTCCTATTTCATAGATAATAATTTAATTAACCTATTTTTTTCAGGATTTATTTTAATTTCAAGTTCTCTGCAGATTTCAAAATATAACATATTCTATGATATTTTTATTTTGTAATAGTGGCACCCTATGAAGAAAATCACAATGGCAAAGAGAATGTCAACAAAGTCAGCGTTTTTGAACATTTTACAATGGGAACAGATGAGAAATATTACATATGCCAGAGTATTATCGAAGATGATGATTCTGAAAAAACATGGAATGCAAAAATTAGTTTTAGTGGTTCTGACAAAAATGTACCTACAAGAGCATCAAATTTGAAAAGACATTTGCAGCGTTTGCATCCTAAAGTGTTAGAAGCTGTGAATAAGCAAGATAATAACAACAGTCCATCTACTTCAGGGCTAAAGAAAGATTAGAAATCTACTGTAGGTCAAACACAAAGTTGCCATAAAAATGATACCAGAAAAGTTCAAAAACCACATCACTGAAATGGCAGTGAAGAATATTGTACCTCTATCCTTTTTTTTTTTTTTTCAACAATCATCCTTTTTAGGCTTAAATGGAGAAATGTCTAGAAAACTTGGAGTTTCTCTAGAAAGAGAAAGCATAAGGAGACTTATAATTGAAGAGGCCAAATGTAAGAAAGAATTTCAAAAAAGTTTGAAGGTATGTTTTGTCTTCATTAAAATGGATGCATGCACATGTCACAGAGTTAATTATTTTGCTATTAATGTTAGATTTGTTGATGAAAGTAATAAAACAATAACTCAAACATTAGGAGTAAAGGACACCCAGGCACATCACAGCAGCGAATATCTCCAGAAGTTAGTGGAAGATGTTTTGGAAGATTTTGAAATTAAAAAGGAACAGGTTCCATGTATTGTAACAGACAATGCTTCAAATATGTTAAGTACAATTGAGAAAATGAATAAAGTTGATGAAGAAAGTACACAAATATTAGAAGATCCCATTCCTGCAATTAATCCACAAACGGTGCAAATAGAAGAAAACAGTGAAACTCAACCTTTAGATGATATTGGTGAAGAAGCATCTAAGCTTATTATAATTCAGCATATGTGTTGTGCTGTAGATACACAGCAACTAGCAATAAGAGATGAACTGAAAGATCATCATGCAGTTACTCTCATTGGCAAGTTGAGGCAAGTAGCTGTTGCAGCCAGGACCCGTAAAACAGACACTATTCTGTGGATCAAGCAACATGCTGGGGAAGCACTTATTTGATGATAAAGCGTTTGCTTGAACAAAAGACTTTTGAAGATCTGGACAACATAAATGTTGCACTAACTGAAAGCCAGTGGGCGCAAGTGTCAGAATTAGAAAGTCTACTTTCTCACCCTTTTATTGTCACCAAGAAGTTGCAATCTGAGGATTTAACACCTGGTAATTTCTTGTTGGAGTGGAAAAGCTTGATGTATCACCTGAACAAAAGAGGAGGATTAATTGCTGATGGTACTGTATCTTCAATGAAGAAAAGGGAGGGTCTCTTGCTGGATAATCAAATCCTGTTAGCTGCTATTTACATTGATCCAATGAACCGACTTTTGCTGAGCAATGACCAAGTTGCTACAGGAAAACAGGCACTCTATGAAGTAATAGTTTGCATGAAAGGGTTATAAGTACTACTGGAAACACTTGAACCACTGGATGAAGCTAGAAGCATTGGTAACTCAGAATCATCCTCTTCAAATGAAGAATTAGAGTGTGAAGCCTACTTGGACAGAATGGAACGTTCAAAGCGATGCTGCTTAAGCATGGAAAAACAACCAGTAATTATCCAAATAAAGACATTTCAGCAATAATTTTTTGAAGGATTAAAGGAAGTGGAAAAGTATGACGGTCATCAAAACTGACGTTCTCTAGAAGCCATCTATGTTTATCCAGAGGTTATTAGTGATATAGCTAGAACTGTAACAGCAATGCCACTCACCCAAGTCAGTGCTGAAAGACTGTTTTTGGCACTGAAAACAGTCAAATTGGATTTAATGGCTTTATGAGGGAGGATTTGGCAGAAGCAATTCTGTTTCTAAAATCAATATGTTAGTCTTCAACTTCAACAATCTTCTACAAATATATTTTTTATTTCATTAAATGTAATGTTTCATGTTATATTCACTTGAGTTTTATATTCAAATAATACTTCAATCTCGGAAAAGAAAGTTTATGTTACTTATTATACCTAATTGAGTTCATCTCTTTTAAAGCGGTCATTTGTTGTTTTAGGTGTTCAATTGTTTTTTACTTTTTTGTAGTTTTGATTTTGAATTCTTGTTAGTAATATCAAAGGATATACTTCAGATTTTTGAACTAGTAGAGAAAGTTGTTCCTGATTTTCTTTTATAGTTTCTTTCTTTTATATCCTATTACTTTATACTCTATAGTCGTTTAATAAAAATATAACCTCACTGTTTTTATTTTTTAGCTTTTATCCTTTCTATAAATTATAAGGTTACTGAATGTTTGTAATTCTTTAATAACTAAAATAAAAAACCCAGAATGTCTTAGCTACAGCCTTCAGGCCCAAGCGTTAACAGGTTAGGGTTCTAAAAAGCCGCCTGCTGATTCACATTGGCAGTGATGAAATGCCTTGTATGTTGCATACTTGCAGTCGATATAGGAAATACATAATTAGTATATGTATAATTTATTTCCTATATCGATATATAATTAAAGGAGTTGGAAGTACCATGAATAAAGGAGTCAGAGTCGAAGGTTTCATGTGCCGACTCCACAGCCCTGCTTTGAACATTGTGAAATGGCTCTGCGACCATAATAGATGACAGTAGTTGGATATTCCCAACATTTTGGTAAGTTCCCTTTGGGACTCAGCTGGGCATTGTCCTGCTACACCTGAAAAGCTAAATGGCTGTTCTGCTCTTTCTTAATAATCAGTTTGGATTAGGAAAATAAAATGATAGAGTACTAGGCAAAATACAGGCTAATATCTCCATAAAATGCTTAGAATGAGGAAATAATGTTATGTGGCAAAACTCTTGTCTACTTACATTCTAAGCATAGTTACCAAAACAAAAAACAAAAAACCACAATACCTGCAAGAGATAGGGAGAAAAAAAATAATCAATTTGATTTTAATAAGAACTATCCTGCGCTGATTTCTCAAACCAGTAAATGAATTAGAGATATTTTGTTAGATGTACTGGGAGAAGGGAAAATAATTTAAGTATGTGTATGTTCAAATAATCAAACACAGCAGGAGGAAACAGGATATGGGTGTGTAAAGAGAACTTCCAAACTTTGTTTGCATGTTCTTGAGGCATGCAAGGAGGAATAAAAGAAACTCATCCCATTTCACCTTTTATTTGCCTACAAACCTCTAACAGGGCAAATGTATCAATGGC